TCCACAGAAAGACCACCAGAGCAAGGGAACAGGTGGTAAATAGTCACAAGGCAGTGAGAAAACCTGCAGCCCGAGAACAAGAGCTGACCTGTGCGGTCAGTGGCCGGTGGCCGGAGCTGGCCAGCACTCACAGTCACCGTGTGCTCCTGGTGACATAACCGATCTTGTAGAGCGTCAGTATCAGACCAGGCTCCTCTGGGCCTGAGATGACGTGAGACCAGGAACGAGACCATTTCATCATCTTCACAGACTAAAACAAGGCCACTGTGCAAACCACAGGCGTGACCAAACATCCCGCATCCTGGCCGCACGTATTTCCTGTGCTGCTCTAACTCACGACAAACAGCGCTTTAACACAACACACATTAATGCTCTACAGCTCTGAAGGCTGGAGCCGGAAACCAGCCCACTGGCTAAAGTCCAGGTGCCGGCAGAGCCTGTTCCCTCTGGAGGCGCCAGGGGAGAACCTGTTTCCTGCCTTTCCCAGCTTCTAGAGGTGCCCGTATTCCTTGGTTCGCAGCCCCTTCGTCCATCTTCAAAGCCAGCGGTGGCTGGTCCGGTCTTTGTCATTCTGCCTCCCTCTTCCACATTTAAGGATCTTGTGGTGACCTTGGGCCTGCGCAGATGACCCAGGGCGATCTCCCTATCTAAGGTCAGCTGATCAGCAACCTAGTTCCGCCTTGCCACAGAACATAAAGCGCTCACAGGTCCTGGGGATAAGGGTGTGGACACCTTTGGGGAATGCTATTCTGCCTGACTCACTGATGACTGCGAGGGCTGCTGCTTCACCAATGGCATCTGGACGTTCCTCGAGGAGTCTTCCCTCCTCGAGATAAGCTTTATTGAGATGCCCAATCATACCCCAGCTTCCTGACTGCATCCAATCCACAACAAAGCCCTTTTTCCTTGATACCTCCCCAAAATGACATTGCACAAAACTAAATCCTACAGTCAGGCTTCTAGCGCCCTCTAACTGAGATACCCATGTATCCCAGGGGATGTGTTCTCTTGTCTCACGGAACAATGAACACGATTTGTTCAACGGTCTTTGGTAGGGGGCAACTGGGGTGAGAGGGCGGGGTGTGCCCCACGGCCGTGGAGGCAGAGGCCGGAGGGGCCAACTCGCATGCAGCCAGAGGTAGAAAGAAAGCTCCACAGAGGCCGTGACTCTTGCGCTGGGTCTAGGGGACAAGTAGGAGCTTCTAGATGAGAAGCCCAAAGGGGCAGGAACCACTGCGGGGGCTGGGAGGGCGAGCAGGCCAGGCGCTCTCGGGGTCTCGGTGGGGTCTGGACTCTCCAGTGTCCCGCGAGGAGCCGGGGGTCTGCACAGCATCTCAACAGCCTACAGGGAGGCGATTAACTGTCACCCCCTTTGACAGATGAGGAAACAGCCTCTAGGGGTTACCTCTGCTCAGCAGGTGTGGGAAAGGCCAGCGAGAGCCCGCCCATCAGCACAGAGGAGCAGGGGCCCGGCCCCGGACGTCAGCCGTGTCCCCCCATCACAGCGGCCAGGCCACCTCCCTCAGGGAGGGAGGGAAGGGGCCAGAGGCTGCCCCAGCCACGGACCTGGAGCACAGGAATGTCTGAGCAGGACTCAGACAGAGGCCGATAAAGGAACAGGAAGGTGGTCTGGCCTGGAGGGAGGTGGGCCTGGAGCCACTCGCCAGGCCAAAGACGAAACCCCAGGCCAAAGAGCGTTTAGGAGGTTTGGGGATTCCACAGGCGGGAAGTGAAGCAGGAGAGGATGGCGTCGCGGGGCCAGGGCAGAGAGCATTCTGAGCAGGGATTCTAGCACCAGTGGGGTCAGAGGCCACGCACACAAAACCAGGACGTGGTCTCTGGGTTTGCCCCACGGAGACCTGGGTGGGAGCAGCGTCTGACCAGTGGGGTTGCAGGGAGAAGCCAGGCAGGGTGCGTAGAGGGGGCCGGGCGAGCCGGGACGCAGCGGGCGCCGTGAGCGCAGACTCTGCCAGTGTGACAGAGAAGCAGAGACTGAGGGACGTTGGGACCTGTTCTTTCGGTTTGTGTTTGGGCTGAAGCAAAGGAACCAGTGGTGACGGGATGACGAAGGAGAGACAGGCGCAGATGAGGGAGTTTGTAAGACACGGCGGGTGGGGACAGCAGTGGCAGAAACACAGCCCCCTTCCCCTGAGACGAAATGAGGTAAACTGGGGAGGGGTGTTGATGGACGTCCAAGACCCAGGGTCCCCATAACTATTCCAGACAGAAGGGCTGTGGGGGCACAGGGGCTTGTGTGGGACATGGGGACTGTTCTTTCTGCGGCCTGAAAACTAGAATATAACCTTGACCCAAGGCCATAGGGCTGGTGGGCCAATGGTCACCTCATGGGGAGGGCTGCACCAATGGAGGTTCTGGCAGGGACCACCCCACAGGCAACCAGGCTGTCACCAGAGATGCTGAGAGAAGGGTGGCTGCAGCAAACAGACGGGTCCCTGTCCTAGGCATCCAAACATTGGGTTTCTATGGCAACATGTCTCTGACCTGCATATCCCACCAACATTTAGTTTCTGCAAAGAACTTTCTGAGCACGAGGGCCTGAAGCTGCAGAGACAGCGGTGTGTCATCCTGGCCTTGGGAGCCCGTGGTCTTGTGGGGGAGACTGAAGAGGGACGACATGTACACCAGGGTTGAGGGGTGAGGACAGGGCAGGGTTCCTCCCTGGGAGCCAGGATGGCGCCCAGAGGTGGCAACACTTCAGGTCGGGGCTGAAGGAGAGCTGGAGTCAGCCAGGTGAGGGCAGCTGAGAAGGAGGTCTTGGGTGCTGGGGCGGGGGGTACTGGGAGGAGCTAAGCCTCATGGAAAGTTCTCATGTAGAGAAAGACCTGAAGAGTAGACAGGTTAGGTTGTAAAGCAGAGCCCTCCTCGGGTTAATGATAATTGGGAGGTGGGGCTCCAGGGAACTCCCCTTTTACTGTAATATTTCTGTAAGGTTTACATTTTTTTTTCAATTTTTATAAGCATTTATTTGAGCCCAAACTGATGACAACTGCTGGGAAGCAAGATCTTAAATGCCCTCTGTAAGGTTTACATTTCTAAAATGAGCACGTATTAATTTGGTAACTTCACTCTTCACAACAGCCAAGAAATAGAAACAACCCAAATGTCCATCAATTGACGAAGGGATAAGCAAAACGTGGCCGATCCGTACGATGGGTTATTATTCAACCATAAAAAGAAAGCACTGACACACGCTGCCACGTGGCTGGACCCTGAAACCGCGTGCTAAGTGAAGAAGTCAGACACAAAAGGCCATGAACCGTACGATTCCATTTCTGTGAAATGTCCAGAGGGGCAAATCCCCAGAGACAGAAAGCAGATGAATGGTTGCCGGGAGCCGGGGGCCCCCGGGGGGACTGGGGACCGGCTGCTACACATGGGCATGGGTTTCTTTTTAGGATGATACAAATGTTCTGAAATTAGATGTCAGTGATTGCTGTACAATAGCACATACGAAAAGCCACAGAATTGTAAACCTCAAAATGGTTAAAGTGATGAATTTTATGTTATGTGAATTTTACCTGCATTTTTTCTGAAGTGGGTGACCCAGCAGAGCATCAATACCTTCTGATCTATAGACCACATTTCTGAGCCAGAGGCAGAACGACTCTAAATAAGCAGGTTGAAGTACACCAGCTTGTTTGTAGAACCCCCACTGCCACTCCCAACCACCACTCACTCTGCCAGCTCTGTGTTTCCCACACAACCGGGACACCTGCTCTCGGGTCCCCAGGAGAGCCGCAGCGCCTCCGTCGCCCATTCGCCCATTCACAGTCATTCATTCATTCACTCACTCATTCATTCAATCAATATTTTACGGGTGCTTTCTACACGCCAGCATTTCTGGTGAGATGCACAGCGGTCCTGCTCTCAGATCTCCATTCTGGAAGGAGAAGGCAGACAAGCAGCAGAGGCATGTTTCTCTGATGGCCACGAGCATATGAAAAACAACCACTCAGGGCAGAGGTAGGCAGAGATGGACTGGCTGTGCAGTCTCCCCATAGCCAGCTGTGCCTGGGAGCCAAAGGTCTGGTCATCTGGAGGCGACTCAGTAATCAGGGCTCAAAAACAGGTCTCATGGCAACGATCTGATGGCCGCATGTGTCTAGCGCCACCATTGGGACCCCGCACCTCAAAGGCAGGTGCCCTGCAGACCCTGCTGCCTTCTGCACCCCATCGCTGACCACTGACAACGCCCCTCCAACCACACTTGACTACTCCCCGTCTTTCTAGCTGCAGGCCCTTGCCCAGTTTGTTTCCTTTGCCTAGAACTTTCTCGATTTCTACCCCTGCCTTTTGCCTGATAACAACAACCCAGTCTTCATGTTTCAGCTTAGACGTGGCTTCCTCCAGGAAACCATCCTCAACTACACTGCTGACCCCGACCAGCCCCTGCTGGGCCAGCAACCTACTCTGCCTTCAGCACTCATCACACATTGTCACCATTGTGGACCATTGTCACGTGAGTGAACCCTGAGCTCTGTCAGGTCAAGAGGGCCTGCCTCAGTTATCTCCGAGTCCCGATTACAGCTCATTGGAGAGGTCTGCCAATGCGGAGTTGAAATGAACACATGGAACTTGCAATATTAAGGAACATAAAGCTTATAGTCTTCTATAAACACTAACAGTTCGTAATACGCCTGATAATTTAATTGAGGTGGAGCTCATTAAGTCAAAAATAGAAATAAAAACCTTTTTCAACATTTCCCTGAGCAATGTGTCTTAATTCATTTTATATTCAGTGAGTGTCTACCATATGCAGGGCCCTGGAATACAAACTGTACAGTATTTAATCTTACAAGGTCAAAGGCGAAAGCAGTAAACAAAGCCCTTTGGTGGGCTGGATCTGTCTTGTTGTCTCACAAACACACACGTGCGCATGCACACATGCACGCGCTCGCACATGCACACATGGACAGCTACCGCAGACAGCAGCGGTGAGCTCTGCCACCGGGGAGTGCATGGAGCAGATGATGGAGTACCTTTGTTTTAACTGAGTGCCGTGGGGAAGCCAGCTGGCAGGGCCGCGTGCAGCATGGACAGGAACGGAGAAGGCCAGGTCCTCCATGGGCTCCTGGGGGGAGAGGGGTTGGCACAGCATGAGCTGGAGGCACAAGCTCCCTGCACACGTCCCTGTGACAAAACATCTCCCTGGGCCCCGGGAGCCCTTCTCACAGTGCAGGACACTTTCCAACATACAGACACAATTCCTACTACTTAGCACCTCCAAACTCATATGTCAGAATGCTTTCTAAAACTGGTTTTCCCCCACTATAGAAGTGCTACGCACAGCTTAATGATATTGGAGAAATCGATAAAAACAAAGGTATTTGGAGAAATAGATGTTTTTAAAAAAGGAAATAAGTCACCTTCCCAGAAACCACGTGTGTGTGTGTGTGTGTGTGTGTGTGGGTGTGTGTGGGTGTGTGTGTTTTCAGCAGAGTCAAGATCGAATTTCACAGGGGGCTTTGACTTAGCGTTATACGATTTCTTCAAAGCGTGTTTGTGTTCGTAGCAGCCACCGTTAACAGCAGCGTCATCTGTTGGTTCATCATTGTCTACCCACCTCCTAACACTGTCCTTGGCGCACAGTAGGCACTCAATAAATGCATGAATGTTAAATGGCCAATATTGCACGGAGGGAATATTATCATCATTGACTCAACTGTTTCCTGCAGTTAGACATTTATTGTTTCTAATAACTGGCTGTTAAAAATCATACTGTGATAAACTGTGCAATTAGTTCTATCTGTGTCTCATTGATCAACCAAGTAAATTACCACCGAGCCAAAGGGTGTGAACAACTCCAGGCTGCCAGCTCATCTGCCAGCAGACTGCTTTTCCAAGCCCTGTTTTTTTCACTGCATTATTTCAAAGGCTGGAAGTTATGTAAATATCCCTTTATCCCAAACCCAACAGCCCAGGTAGCTCGAACTTACATTTTGTTTTGCAAAAGCGAGCACTTTCTCCTTATGGAATAAGAATACATTTTCTTGCCTTTCTTGCTTTTTTATGTCCAATATGAAATATATACTTTTGAGAAGCCCAAGAGAACTGACTCTGAAGTGGATTGTATTTTAATAACAGTGACTTGTGCTGGAAGCAAAAGGACAGAAGGAAAAGGGAGAGGAAATTTCTAATTCACGTCTTATAAACAGAAAAATACAAGTGAGAAATTCAGGGAGATGAAGCTTCTGTAAATTAAGCCCATCCTGAGTAAATATGGCAGCAGCCGCAAGCTCTAAGCTGCCCAGTGCTCTGGGTGAGTCAAATCCAAAGGGCACTTAGGAAATTCTCCGCCTGCATACACCGCCATATAAATGCGACCGAGTTAAAAGTTCAAGTGCATGATCCAATTACCTCATTCTGCTATAATCTCATAAAGGGTAATTAAGTGTTGATGATGCTTGATCATTAAGGGCTGTTGTGACAATAAGCAGCTTTAAATATTAGCTACCCCACAGTGAACAACCTTTATTGGGCGCTACCGGAGAAGTCAAGTTTCAGATGACTTTTCCGCGATAGGTTTATAGCCTCATGAATATTTATGGCCTTTAGAGTCAGCTCCTGGGTTTATGGGCTTCAGGTGACACCTCCAGGGATGATGACAACCTTGTGTAGATATGGAAACTGTTGGGTCTCAGCAGCGGCTGCCCTGTATGGTTGGGGGCGGGGGTGCAGGGCAGAGAATCAGGGATCTGGGCTCCGTCCCCTGTCACAGCTCCATGACTGCGGGACCTCATTCAAGGTGCTGCCCCTGGGCCTCAGATCACCCTCCCTTCAGTGGCAACACTAGATTGGTTGTGTCTGTGCACCTTCCATTTCTTTGGAAAAGAGCGACTGGCAACGAGAGCCAATGTTATGGAGTGTTTATCACATGCCAGGTGCTGTTGGGATAACCTCGACGCCCTGGTCCTGTCTGGGGCTCGTTTTTCTATCACTTCAGACTGACTCTGGCTTCAGCTATTGGCTCAAGCCATCTGCAAACTTTTTTTTTCTTCCATTTGGCCACCTTGTAAGTCGCTAGGAGAATCGACCTCGAAATATTAGACAATTTTAACAATTTTAATCCACATGTACTTGAGCAGCCCCTGTCCATGTCACTTGGTGGGGACAGGTGCAACAGCTTTGTATATGGGATACACAGAGCAAGAGGCTCCCCCAACCCCACCCCACCTGGGGCGGTCTGGCTGCCCCCTCCAGAACCTGGGCCATCCCCCGACGAGCGCGCACAAACATGTTCACAGTTTCCGTGGCTGCAATCAACGCCAGCGTCTGTCTCTCCTGGCAGCATGTGAGCCCCTGGAGGGCAGGGATGATGTTGAGATTCAACTCTGCTGGCCAGGATGCCTGGCCGGGGCCTGCCAGGTGCTCCAAAAAATATTGAAAGGCATAAATGGAATGAGAGAGGTGGGGAGGGGACAGGGGAAGGAAAGCAGTGAGGGACAGCCCTGGACGGGAATGAATCCATGCCTCGTGCGTGAGTGAGCGAAACCATTCAGGCCCAGCTGGCACACTTGCCAGGAAGCGAAAGTGCCTGGATCTCTTCCAACGCAACTAGAATTAAAGCGCCACCCCACACACTGGACTCCATCCCTGTCAGTGCCTCGGACCGAGTAATACCCTGGGAAGGGGCCCCCTGGGGCCTTGCTGTCCGGGCTGCTTGGCTGGTGTGTTCCCATGACCTTGGCAAAGCGAAGAGAAACAGAGGCAGCGTCTGAACACCCACCATGGGGTCTCTCTTAAGGGGTCTGAATGGAGCGGGGAGGGGTGGCGTGTGGTTTCCTGGGTGGAGAAACACAGCCTCACATCAGCCAAGACTTTTCACTCAGTCTGCCGTGGGAGAAGAAGGAATGATTTATCATCATTCTCATTTCTCAGAAGAGGAAAAAGGCTTAGAAACGAAGAGCCATTTTCAGAGGTTATGCAGCTCTTCAGAAGCCAAACAGAATTAAAAACCTGCCCCTTTGGCTCTGAATCCCCCACATTTCCACCCTCCAAACACCATGCTCCGGCTTTGCTCTCTTCTCTCCATCCTTCTAACAGAAAAGCCCTCACCTGCGGCTGGGATGGCCCTGCTCTGCTGTCTCTGCAGGAGGATGCCTCCTGTCCACCTCCTCCAGGAAGTCTTCTCAGATCACGCGTGCCTGCTCCCTCCACCCACCCACTCATCTCCTGGCTGGAGACTTGGGCTTTAACTCAGAATGCACACCCTGTGTGGTCATTGTCTTCTTGGATGTCATTTCTTCCCTCGGTTCATTTATTCAAGAAAATATATACAGAGCACCTGGAAGAGGGGAGACTGAGGCTGAGAAGGGAGTCAAATTGTGCCAGGCGACACAGAAAACCAGATTAAAAGCCACGCAATGATATAGTCACTCAGTGAATATTTAGAGAGAGTTGCCACATGGCCCCCAAATGCTAAACTCTTTCCAACACCTGCCCCTTCATGGAGGGCTCCTTTCTGCCCAGTGCTTGGACTCCTGCCAATGCTCCCGGGTCAGGATGGCAGGTGTAACTTAGTAACCTGCCAGGTACTAGCCCAGCAGCCACCTGTCTTCACAGGCAGATGCTCTGTGCTCACAGTTCTTGGCCGAATGCCCCCAAAGAGCAGACGAGTATCGTTTCCACTCTAGCACCTTCCTTCCTTGGCATTTAGAGAGCACCCACGTGAGCAACTAGGCTGGGCTCCTTTAGGGAATCCAACCATCAAAGAGGGGCAGAGGGAGAGGGTGAGAGCTGGCCTGGTGCTGTCCAGGGGCCCAGTCTGGACCCAAGTTGATCGTCAGCCTGGAGAAGGCAGGAAGGCAGCAGACGGTGGCGGGAGGGTCACAGCAGCTAAAGACGGAGACAGCTGGATTGAACTCCCAGATCTGCAACCAGATAGACAGGAGCTGAACCCTCTGGGACCTCGGCTTCCTTCGCTGCAAGATGAGACTATCACTAGTTCAAAGATGGTCACAGATGATGCATTTGTGACATGCACGGCAGCTCCTGGCGTACAGCAGGTACTCAGCAAACGGCAGAAATATTCTTATCACGACCACGAAATGTTATCCTTTCAAACTCTGCTCTACAGCTTTTGTAAATAAGTTTCCCCCTTAGAAGAGCAGCCCCAAACCAGGGACCAGGAGCTCCGAGGTGAGAGGTCCTGCCGAGCCTGGTGCTGTGGGACTGTAAGCCACTGGCAGCTCCTCTCAGCTTCTGCAGCGCAGGGTACTCGCCTGTGAGCTGGGGCTTGTCTTACCGACCCTCCTCACTCACAGAGGGCAGAGGAAGGGTCAGATGCAGTGATGCACCTGAAAATACTTTGTAAAAAGTCCTTTTTAAAGTTAGCTTCACAGGACACAAATATACGCTATTGGTGCCCTGCTTGAAAACTCTGGATGGCTCCCTACTGACTGTGGTAGAAGATCCCAATTCCCGAAGCCACCCCTCCCAGAACGTTGCGACTGGGGCTTTTTCTACTTCTCCAGCCTCTGTGAAGGGCAGCTCCTGCCTGCCACGCCCCACCCCCACCCCATAGTCTCCATCTGCTGCTGGAGGACCTCCCTGACCCCTACTCTCCCAACACACATCCATCACATCAGGCTACACTCCAATTACTTGCTCATGTGACTGGGGCCCCTGAGGGCTGGTGCTGTCTCTTTCATCCGTGTGTCCCCAGCACCCACACTCGGCCAGCCCAGACTGGCTCAGTGTCTGGCAGGAATGAACTGGGAGGCAGGGGCAGTTTTGGTCCTTTAGCGGCAACTCCACGCAGGGCTCAGGTGCTCATGGGAAATGGGCCAGACAGCAGTGATGTCTTTTCTCACCTGGACCCACACCAACGACCCCATTCTCAAGGCTGGCACTCAGGCAGCCCTAGGAGACATGGAAGTGAGCCCGAGGTGGGTCAAAGCCCCCTTCAGGATGGAAAAAAAAAGCCAAACTGTGGGATCCTGGCAACCAGTCTGCAGTGGGAAGGGATGGGAACAGGAGATCAGGGGAAGGTAGGGGGGAGGAAGAGGCGGAAAGAAAGGGTGAGCAGAGGCGGGAAGAGAGCGGGGGCCGCCTCCCCCCTTTCTGTCTAAA